GGGGGGGCGGGGTCGGGCGGTTGTTTGTGTGACTGCTTCGGACTCGTAGAGGCGAAAGAGATTGTATGGACTGTTGAAGCATCAAAGTGTTTTCAAGTATGTACCTTTGGGGTGAATTTATCTATATATCTTGAAGCATCAAAGTGCTTCACGCTTCTCGTAAAAGAAACTGTGCGTCAAATATATAAAATGTTTCAAGATTAAACTGTAGTACTGTACACGTCTGGAACTATGTGTTTCGGCGTTCAATCTCCCGATTGGCCGATGCAGATCAAGCCCTAGTCACTTCAGGTGTCATACATTTTTATTTTCCCGTGCCAATCGCCGGCGGGTAAGCACGTAGATGGCAAGCCTAGGCCGAACAGAGATGGGCTGCACAGAGGTCGCTTTCTTTATCAGGCCAACCAGCCTAGTCATGCTAGGTGTCATATATTTTGATTTTCCCGTGCCATTGGCGGATCTGAATCCGTCGGTGACATTGATTGAATTTCAGTAACCTGGGGCATCAGACCTGTTCCTTCACGAATTTATTCATTTTTTTCTGTTCGTTTTTGGTAAAATCTTCCCATTGGTCGATGCCAGGGTGGCCGTAATCACAAGCTAGCCGACATCGGGTGAAGGACCGTGTTCGTATCTCAGTCAAGGAACACGTGAAAGCGGGTCGGTATTGTGAAGTTCAAACTCTTACAGTGGGTAGAACGCAAAGTAAGATAAGCGATTGATTACATAATCGAGCAAAGAAGGAAAGAAAACTTTCATCTTTCCTGTTTCTTACCATTTGCCGATGGCATTGTGTCGTGAGAGGAAACATTTTGAGCAGAAGCACCTCCCAGCTGGATAAAATCAAAATCGACTTCAAGCTGGGAGGTTTTAACTTCGAACTCGCTGCTTTCTCCTGTTTTGGACAATGTAATGTAATGTAATGTTATAGAAATGTGAGTTAGCCTGGACCGATACGAGAAATGTCCTCCTGCTCCCATTTGTCTCTCCCGATCTCTTCTTCTCTTTCAGATATATGCGGGAGGAGGAGGAGGAAGACATGGGATCGGAAATCTTATGTACTATTGCTGTTGAGAACAAATAGCCAATTCCTGTGCTAGTTAAGGGAACAAAGAACATCAGCATGGGCTGGAGTTTTGCCCTACAAAAGTGAACACTATATTCGGGAAATACAAATTGACCCTGCTCATATATTGTGTATAGTCTTGTGATGTATGTGTGACTTCGATCTATTTCGTATTCTGTCTAAGGAGTTTCTATTCTGTGCAGAAAAAAAATGGGGCTCTCTGTAGAGTGCCTGCCTTGTCGATGTATGACGACGTCTGTGCCTTTCTTGTTGTGGACATCTGCTGATTCGTTCTGTTTAGGTGTGATGTACTTGTTTTTTGAGACAACTGCGCCGGTGACTGCTGCACAGTTCAAAATTCGCAGAAATAACAGTCCACTGCAAGATTGGGCGTCGTGAGCAGTTCGAAACAGCAAGAAAAACAGTGAACAACAGTGAACTGCGTGTTAGACGGCCTACCGGTTCGATAATTGGCAAAAACGGGAGGTGGCCTGGGCCAGTGGTAGCGTGTGGCCTTTTTTTTTTTTTTTTTACTTCGTGGCGTGGCCTGGCCTGGGAGAGGGTACCGGGAGCAGGCCCTCCCGTTTTTGGTTTCTGACCGGACTTGCTCTGGCGGTTTTTGAAATTATCAGAAACAGGGCCTCGCCGCACTGCGCACGATACGAAAAACGAGCGCATCTTCCGGCAGAAAATGGCCAGGTTCGTCAGTATGCTATACTTAGTAACAAGTGTATTTTTCCACCTTTTATGGGCCGATGCACTCTTTTCGTTTTCCCACGAAAATGAAAACGAAACGAGTGCATCTGCCCACGAAAGGTGCAAAAATACACTCGTTCTGCCGGAAGATGCGCTCGTTTCGTTTTTCGTTTCGTGCCCCGTGCCCGGTGCGGCGAGGCCCACAGACGACTGAACTGAGTGACGGTGTTCCATCTACTGAACTGAGTGATGGTGTGCCATCTCTCTCTCTCACGCCACCAGGTAGGTACAACTCCACTCCCTCTCGTCCACGCTTCTTCTCCTTTCTTTCCCCTTCATCTTTCTCCGTCTCCTCCCTCCTTGTCACTTTCCCCATACTCAACTTCCCGTAATAAGGCTCGCCACGCTCATGTACCTGGCCCTGATGCAGGGGGGGTTCGGGCTTGGTGGCTGTGGTCCACAATGACGGGAAACAGCCAGAACTCAGATTCTCTGCATTTTTCTTGTAAAGGGCTTCGAATTCCTATGGAGGGTTTCTGGTTTCACAATTCTCGCTTTCTGTCAGACTGGCTTTTAGATTCTACACACGAATTTTGAAATGAATGTAGTAGGTAGGGGTTGGATGGTAATAGCACGGCTACAGTCTTCCCCCGAATACAACGTACGGTCATTATAATACGTCCACTGAGAACGGAAAAAAGTCTGCCCTTAGGTGAGGCGCACCGCACAGGTATGGTGATGACAACTGCGGCCTGTTTCACTCGGAGGGAGAAGACGACCGATGTAAAAAAAAAAGAAAAGACAACCGATGTTGCAGAGGGAGAGGGTGACCACGAAAAAAAAAAGAAGAGGAAGAAGAAGGGGGAGATGATAAAAGAGAGAGTGGCAGAGAACGAAGGAGCTTACCTGGCCTGCTGCGAGTCGTGATAGTGATGGACACTTCCCCCAGTGTGGGTTGTGGTTTTTCTTGCTGGCTATTCCTCTTTCTTCCCGTCTTTGGGCATACTCACACTACTACGTATTTGTGTGTTTTTGGACGGAACTGTGGCCAAATACATCCAGGTATGGTGTGAATGCCGTCACACTAGCAATATCTCAAATGTATCTGACCTCATTAACGTCAAACCTGGACGTATCTGGCCACAGTTCCGTCCAAAAATACACAAAAACGTAGTAGTGTGAACTCTTTCCTTCTTTTCATCCTTATTATCGTTCTTTTTCTTCTTTTTTTTTTTTTTTTGCCAGCACGTTATTCTGACCTAAGCCGCGTCGTCTACTCAGAAAATGTATGTGAGCGACTTTGCAGAGTATCCGTTGTATTGTGAACTTTTTATTCCCACTCTGCAAAGATCGCCTGTTTTATACCGCACTTGACTTCCACTCTGACCATTGGCGACATCCATCTTTGGCCCCTTCTCACCGCGGAGGTTCTCACTGTTCACAGAGTCCATAATATGGCTCCTCTGATTGTTACTTCAGCATAATGGCACTGATCCCCCCTGCTGTAGCTCCTGGGAGATTGTCCCCGTTAGGACGAAACTGGCCGGCGACTGTAGTGTATCACCATCCGGCAATGTCACCCATCCTCCCATCCACCAATCCCGAAAAAGGCCTGGAAAGGTTGCAGAGTCACCGGGCATATATCGTACCGTGGGAAGGTCTTGGAGTTCGCCTCAACTGGGAATGCCTGGTGCATCATTGGCCACAACAGGCTTGCATGCTTAACAACTGTGAAGTCCATCAGCTGCTTCCAGAATTTGGGTAGTGCTGTCCCAGTTTCTCTACTGGCTTAACACTATGCATGCAATGAATGATGTATCCTGCTTCTAGTCATCTATCTATTCTCCACCCTCCAATTGATATCCAGCCTTGGTGAGGCCAACTGGTGTCCCAGTTTGGTTGAGTACTGATGCATTCGTATGAGTTGGTGTCGCTGATTGGAATTTTCCCATACCCAATTCCTTGGATCCACAGACAGTGAGTATGCCAGGAGAGAAAGACAGGGGTCTGTAGCCGTCTTCATATGCCAGCACACGAACAGGAAGTAATTCTACAATGGGCGGAACATGGTGCTGCTCAGAAGGCAGGGTGAGTTTCTCCCCCATAGACGGCCCTCCTCCTTGTGTCGCCCAACAAGAGAACTGGACATTGGCCTATGTGGAACAGTCTTTCATCTTCCAAACAATTGTTCGATCATGATCTTGCTCTCGCTTGTACCACTTCCTTTCTAAAATGGATGGCATTTCACAAGTACTAGCTTAGCGCCCTCGGTGCGGGCAATGCCCGCACTAAGAACAAAAATATGAAACATCACACCACACAAACTACTCACACTCGCTCAAATGGATCTATATGCTAAAACAAACTGTCAT